TGATAAAGAAAAACATGTCAATGATAAAGAGAAACAAGTAAACCAAACAAAAGATCAATTAAAAACAAAAGAAAAGCAAATTAAACAAAAGCAAAAGAGTCTTGATGAAGAGAAAGAGACAATTGAAAAACAAAAGAAGGGTTTGATCAAGAAATTAGAAACAAGTATTAAAATTATTAATGAAGAACAAATATCAACATGGGCTAATCAACTAGTTATTTTTGAGAAAAACAAAAACACCTTCAAAGACATTATTACACATGCATTAAATGAAAGACTTAATGGAAAAGGAAGTGTTGAAGATAAAATAAACAAACTATTTGCTGAGTTATCTGAAAAAATACAAACTCTCGAGGATGTTCAATTCATTTTGAAACAGAATGGCAGTAACTCATTTGTTAATCCTTTAATTGTTGTGACAGGTATTGTTGTTGTGGTGGTAGGTATTTTCATTGGTTATAATAGTATTTATAAAAATCAAAAATAATTTAATGTGATAACTTTTTTATCGTTTTTTTTTCTTTTTAATAATTAATAAAACACAAATTTAAAAGTAAAAAGTTAATGAAGAATATTAGTATCTGAAACAGTTCTCATGTTTGCAGGTCTTGAAGTTAATTTTCTTGTTAAACGCTTAGGTCTCATTTCATTCTTAGAGTCAATTCTTAATACTTTATCAAACCACTCTTTATTCACTATTAAATATAAGTATTTAATTTTATTATTATTTAAAATGACAGTTAAAAAAAAACAAACATTTTTGAGTTGTTTTAATTTCTTTTTTCAACTTTAAAACATCAGCCTTTTCTTTCATTTTATCGGTTGTTTTTTGTTTATATAATTCTAATTTCTTCTTTAATTCTTCATCTGACTTTCGTTCTTCTGGTGTGAGCATAGATTCATCCTCTTCTTTAACTGCAACCACAAGCTCAGATAATATATTCACAAGCATTTCCATCATTGTTGGTAATGAATAGCTGAAACAATCAAAGAAATCAGGGAAATTAAATGGATGATCAACATACTCAAATTGCTCAAAACAAATATTTTCTAAATTAATCTTTAATATAGATGCTTTATTCTGATACATGTCACAATAATTAGGTGCTGAAAAAACTGTAATACATGGTGGTATATCAGTGTTTTGTAAGAAATAATGTAATTTAAATCCATCCTCCATTACTTGATGTGCACGAACAACACAGATGAGATCATTTTTTTCAAGAAAATTGAGTAGCCCACGTGGTCCATATAATACAGAGGTTTGTCTCAAATGGTTATCTGCAAAATCAGTAGCAAGCCATGCGTCCAATCTTCTTTTTTCCATTGTTTCTGGGTGTTGTGGTTCTTCCAAAGGATCAGACCATAAAATATCACACATTGGTCCTCTTGATGGAGGTTCTTGTACTCTTTTAATTTCATTATACTGTGATAGCCTAGTGAGAAATGGACTAATACCGCCATGAGTACAGAAAAACCTTCCAAGAGAATTTCCTTCTACTAAAGCAGCTAATGGTAGAGCATCAAATAAGTCATGTATTTCATTTAATAATTCAATACTGTGATATTTGTATTCACATTCTAAATTAAAAGTCATACTTTCTGTCATCATTTTACTTTCATGATTTCCTCTTAAGAAGAAAAATTGTTTTGGATAATTAATTTTATGAGCCATTAAAAAAAATAAAACCTCACATCCAAAATCCCCTCTATCAACATAATCTCCGAGGAACACGTACTTATTATTTTCAATAGGTTTAGTAATATCAAAAATTGTAAGCAAATCATAAAATTGCCCATGAATATCTCCACACACAATAACTGGTGCTTCAATAGTAATCATATTTTCTTCTTCCAATAATAATTTTTTTGCTTTTCTAACAAGTTCTAAAGCACAGTCAATAGATAACCTTCCTTCTCTAAAAAAATGATTTCTTAATAACCCAATATTAATCTTCCCATCATCTCCAAATAACATATTCTTTTGTAATGGTCGTGTTTCAATTGAAAAATGTGTGTGAATAGTTCGTTCTCCAACATTAGCTGGTGTGTATTGTTGGTGTGTTTTCAGACTATTGGGTTAATATTTTTTAATTTAAATACACAAAATCAAAAACTTTAAATAACAGCTTGTTCAATAAAATAAACATTTAAAACAAACAACTCTCCTTCAGCAGGTTTGCAACTTGCTACAGACTCTGATTTAATTAATTTAGGCCGAACAAATTTTTTCTTTTTGTGTTGTATTATGTTAACAACTTTATTTGGTGATTCTGTTGTTGGTTGCATCACAGAAAAAGCTTTAAATTTTAAGATCAACAAAATCCAATCTTTTCCTTAGTTTCTGATTATTTTTCCTTATTTACAAAAAAACTTTCACGAGGCTCAATCCTTTAGTTTTTATTTATTTATTAATAATTAACTATTATAATGTTTACTTCTTTTTTCTAAAACAATACAATTTATCAATTGTTTTTTACTCAGTTAATAAAACGAGTAGTTGAAAAGAATGAAAGTCAAAACTAATTAAGTATATCCAAAATATGGTATTAAACATATTTTATTTTTTTTTAATAACTTTTAATGAAAAAAGAAAAGACAATGGCAACTAATAAAATTACAAAATAATACAAAAATGGATAGAAACGTCCAATATTAACAAAAAATGAGTTATCAAAAAATTTCTGTCCAAAAAGGTAACTTTTAAATAAAAGAAAGAAAACTATTTTAATAACATGTTTCTCAAAAAAAAGATATTTATTTAAAAAAAAAATAATTAGATAACGTTACTAAACAAAAGAGGTTAAAATGATTAAATTAAAGGCTTATGGTTTGTAGTTATAATCAACTCCAGCTGAACAAACAGAAACGTCTCCTCTATATTGTTTCATAGATGGACTAGTCCATCCACCGAATGATGAGAAATCAGAGAATGATGGAGAATTATCATAATGTGGATACCATAATGGAGTAGATGAAGCATAAGCATATTTGTAAGATGATCCAAAGAGATTTCCCCAATAATATTTAGAACCATAAATACCATGGACAATACCAATAGCTCTAGCTTCATTCATCATTTGCATTAAATAATTTTGGTTAGTAGAAACTGATGAAGTCCAAGTACCTTCAATATCAAACCAAACTCTTTTTACTTTCAAACTGTATTGACCAACTTTTTGCCAGAAAGTTCTAACTTGTCCAGCCATATTACCACATGAAATGCATGGATAATAATAAACATCAGAATTTTCAATTGAAAATCCTGCAGCATTGGCATTCTTAAGAGTTTGTGGAGCATTAGTATCAAATGAACCAGTTGACTTCCAAGCTCTAACAATAACCATAGTAGTAAATCCTTTATTTCTAAGGCAAGTGAATGATGATTTAGATGTTGGTTGAGAGACATCAATACCTAATTTAGCAGAAGCTAAAGCAATACACAAAAAGAGAGCGAACATAAAAGATAACAAGTTCTAAGTATTATTAAATATTCAATAAATATTGACAAAATAATTAAAATTATAAATTATTATATATTTTTTTAGTCCATTTGTCATGAGAATATATATTTTCTTTAAGTTTAGTATTTTTAGATTTTATTAGAATTCTATATGATTCTTTCAATACGTTTTTCTTATAATTATTTTGTTAATAATGGTAATAACTTGTCTTTTTATTTTATATTTTAA